ATGCTTCGGTCACGTGACTCGTAGTGACCGACTGAAAGGGAACAGTAGGTAGCACAATTTTACAACAAAAAATGCTACATGTCTGATTATGGTTTATTAACGTCTACACCTACACCCCAACCCTAAACCTACCCTTACAGTAATGCAAATACACTATGTGTTGAGCAGTAATTATGTTGTGGTTGCAGTGGAGTCTTTCAGGTTCCTGGGCACTACCATCTCTCAGGACATGAAATGGGACAATCACATCGACTCTGTTGTGAAAAAGGCCCAGGTGAGGCTGTATTTCCTCCGCCAGCTGAGGAAGTTCAACCTGCCACAGGAACTGCTGAAACAGTTATACTCGGCCATCATTGAGTCTGTCCTGTGTTCATCTATAACTGTTTGGTTTGGTTCAGCAACCAAAACAGACATCAGAAGACTACAACAGACGTTGCCCTCCGGCCGGCGCTACAGAGCGCTGTGCACCAAAACAACGTTTTTTCCCCCAGGCCATATCGCACCTGAACAACACATAACACACCTCAGTACTGCAAATCTGTAAATAACTCATTAAACCTTTGTCAGTAAATAGCACATATGCACATTCACAGTTCTGTCTATGGACATTTTTCCTTTTTCTGTATATTTTTCCATTTACTTTTGTCTTTTTTTGTTTTCTTTTACTATTGTTATTTATAATGTATTGTCTATTCTCTCATTTTATGTATGTCTGCACTTTGTTTGTATTTTCTGTACCGGAAGCTCCTAACACCAAGACAAATTGGCAATAAAGCTCTTTCTGATTCTGAAAGTTAATTGTTTCTAACAGAATAAAGACTATTTACCATTTCCTACCAGTCACTGCAAATTAATTTGAATCAGTGTATGAAAATATTACTGGCATCTCATCATGCCATATTGCCTGTGGGATGTGTTCTCCCACACAGACAGACAGGTCAGATTATTCTGACATGTGAGGAGCGCTTGATGACTGCTCAAATCATTATTTATTTTTGTTGGTTATTTTGTCTCAGTTAGCTTCTCAACCTTTGTTTTTAGTTTTATTTTTGTTATAGTTTGTGTACTTTGTTTCAATTAATTTAATTTTAAAATTCCTTGTGTGTGTGTGTGAACACACTTTGCAATAAAGCTATTTCTGATTCCGATTCTGATTTTTCCAGTTGCCAAATCCAGTCACTTAAAATCCAGCTGACTGGTTGCCACCAGTTGTTACTTACAGAAAGTTCATTTATAGAAAGTAACAAATTACTTTACTTTTGTTACTTTTTCTCATCTGGCCTGGGCTTGATTTGTTTGTTTTAATATAAAAAGTTATATTTTTGGCTAATGTAAAAGCCCTTTCACACCAAATGTGAAATGAATACACCTCAGGCTGAAGGAAATGTAAATTCACGTCTGTACGGTAGAGGGCGCAGCTCAAACAAACCTTTAAGCTGCACTGCTGTTATGGATTGCATGAATAATGCAAGAGTTAATAAAATGGAATTAAACAAAGGATGTTATTTAACATTATTGCAGGTTTGGGTCATATTTTGAGTTTGGATTTCACTGTTTTTATTAATTTTGAGGAATACTGAATCTGTTTTTGTTTCGGTGAGATGAGTAAATGCATTTTAACATTTAGTCTAGAACTACAGTAAGCATCATGTTCACACAGCGCACACAATGCCTCTGCACTCCTGGTTTCTCTCAACAGGAGAGCTGTCAATCAATACATGAGAAACAAAGTACCTGGCATTACTTCTTTGAAAAAGTAAATTTAAAAAGTAATTTGTTATTTTACTAGTTACTACTTTAAAAGTAATCTGATTACATAACTCAATTTACTTGTAATGTGTTTCCCCCAACACTGCTGGTTGATATGACCTGATCTCTTTGCACACAGTTTGGTCTGTGAACTGCATCTCTGTGGAGGCTTGGTTATCAGCTTCAAATCGCATCAGAATCTCATTTTCTGAATGAGCAACACTTGTCTGCTCAATTTCTTGACCTCTATCAGCAATATGGTTTTGCGTTCTTTGAAAGTAATTATTCAGTGTATTGTGATGCTCAACTATTAATTTTCCCTAATTTTCATACCAACAATGATGAACTATGTAATAAAGATGGTAACCTATTGTTTATTTTGTTAAACAATATTTCAACTGCAAAATATGAAAAATCCATTTTGTAGCTTATTCTGACCAAAAACCTATGAATCGCCATTACTGTTTGAGATTTAATGCTAATAAATCTGAAATCAATGTTACGACTAGACATGTAACGGTATGAAAATTTCTTATGATTATAGTGACCAAGATTATCACGGTTATCAGTATTATCACGGTATTGTTAACATGTGCTGGAAACTAACACAAATCATTTCACCAAGTTTTATATTTAAAATCAACAAATAAAATGACTTTTTGTTTGCATAAACACACACACACAAAAAATAACATTACCAATGATGTCCGACTCCGTATTTTAAATAACGTACGAAATGTTCAAACAAAACTTTGAAAAGGTTTCATAAAATGGTAAACCTCACATTTTAGCCTTTAAATAAAGAAAAGGGTTGTCAAAATGAAAATGATAATTGATTAATAAATGATTATATGTATTTTATCTGCTCCATAAATAATTCTAGATACCTTATCCAAATTGCTTAAATGTGTAGAATCCACATAAGCTTGTTTTCCATCAAAGTTTACAGAAGGCCATGCAAATTTGGTCTGTTTTTTGTCCAGACAGAAACTGCACACAAGCTGAATGTGAATACAAGTCTCTGTAAATCCACTCTCTGACAGCAGGTGGCGCTTATGGAGCAGCAGAATTACAGCTGTTTCCCGTAACCTCCGTGAACAAAGCAGCATTGTGATTAAAACACTACTTTATTAGGTATTACACAAAGCGAAGATAAAAACAAAATGCCATTGAATCTTTTCTGAAGACATCCAGAACCTACAGAGGCACATTCATATAATTCATTCGTATATTCATTTGTATAATTCCCTTAGCACTCTTTTAAAACCTCCCAGCTTTCCGCCATGTTTTCACACAAAACGAAATTACTTTTTCGTTGTTAAAATCGTGGTAATTGAATACGGTTTTAATGATACTTAAAATATGAAAAGGTAATACTAACCGTGGATAATTTTATCATGATTTATCGTCAAACCGGTAATCGTTACAGTTACGACAATAGACTATTTCCAAATTACCAATGTTCATAGGTATAATTAGGCGAGTTTTAGATGGTCTCTTCCTGTCTGCTTCTCGTCAAGCACAAGCTGCAGTGTGCACCGGATCTAATGCTGATGATCAGAAGTCAGGCTAAAGGGTTGAGCTCTTATGTGTGTGATGTTTCTTTTCTCTCGCAGGCTCCGCAGGGCTCGCGTCAGCGCCGACAACCGAGCGTAACCTGAGCGTGCGACGGATGGACGCAAGGCCAGCGACAAGGGTCCCACAAAGCTGATGATGTCAAGGACTGCATTGAAACCCGCTTCTGTGGAAATCGTCATCGCCAGCGTTTTCGGACAGATCTCCCTCTCTCTGCGACTCTCTCCCGCTCCGGGCCGCACGGGGCGTGAACGAAGCTGCGGCTCACAGACAGAAACGAACAATTATCTGCTTAGCTACAATCTGAAACTGCGGCGGACGGGTCGGCGGTGTTCTGATGCAGAGCGAGAATCGGGGACAAGGCCAATGTTTCAAAACTGAGTGGGGGCTGTATCATTCATCACTTTGAAACCGATTCCAAGTTAACATTTATGGAGTAATAATGCTTTTTCTTTACTCTATCTCTCTGGCTTATATATATAAATATATAAATGTGTGTGCGTGCCCCATTTTGCTGTCGATTAGAAAAGCGTTGCAGCTGATCTGCTCTCAAAGAGCCTCTCACTCCAGATTTTTATTTCATTTCAGATTGATTATTTTTTATTATTTAAACATCTGTTTCATAATGTTAATTGTTTTTTTCTATACGAGTTTGTTTTAACATGAGGGCTTGGCCTTTTTAAATTGTGTTTCTCGCATTCTTGCGCTTTCTCTTTCCTCTGTCCGAGTTGATGGACTAAACTGTTTGACACGTCCCAGGATGCGCTTGTGTTTTTTTTTTTTTTTTAGACACGC